GGCTCGGTGTTGCTCGATCTGGAGTTTCTTGATATTGATGTACGCCATGACCAGCGCGGTAGTGAACATGATGGCCAGCGTGCCCGCCGCGGCCTGGATGTCCAGACCGCCGCCAAAGGCCTTGTCGGTGATCATCAGCGCGCCGACCGTGCCCGCGAGGGACAGCGCGATGGTGAGGTAACCGTTGATGCGGTGGAAGAGCATGGCCTTGTGGCGGATCGCGGGGACAAACTGCAGCAGGGCGAGCACGGTGGCAGGCAGCACGCAGGCGAGGTGCATGATGATGCCGACCTGGTACCGGCCCGGTTTGAGGTAGTAGTAGCACTCGCCGGGCAGGGCGCCCATGGTGGCACCGCCGGTGCCGCTGCAGTAGACGCCCCGGAAGTTGAGGTAGGGGAAGCGGGCGAGGACGAAGCCGAACATGCCGACGCCGAAGATGAAGAAGAGGACAAAGTTGTAGCCCTTGGAGAAGCCGAGCGGGTTGTACACCCTGCGGGCCGCAGCAACGAAGCCATTGGCCGGTGGGCGTGTTGGCTTGACCATGTTGAGGGCTTGTGTGTTGTGTGAAGGCTATGGGGGTTTTGTAGACGATTATCGTAAAGCAGACTGATGTTTCTACTTCCTGTCGTCCGCCTTTGAGAACGGGGCCACGCAGCTCAATATATACAGCAATGTCCTTGAAACTCTGTGCACATCATTCATGGCCGAAACCTGCCATATGTGTAAGTGAGCACCACACCGTGCTGTCCATGGGCTCAGTCAGTCGTGTCGTCTACACCAGCCAATCACCATGCACAGATATCCTGTCCATCCCCAATCGGGTTGAATTCGCGCCCGAGGATTCGGCTGTGCTGGGGTAGCTGGGCTGGGACACCCTTGGCATTGCCGATCGCTGCTGGTCCCTGCAGACACCGCTGGCTCGACTCCAGGCTGCCACTTCTGCCGCCAGGCTGCATGCTAGGCATTGCTTCAGAGCCCATCGTCTACTGAGCCTATCACATCCTGGCGAGTCGGTTGGTAGGGCATGCCAGCGTGGAGAACCCTGAGGAAAGCCACCATGCAAGATTGCCGATCCCCGAATTAGCTCAGCCCTGCCCGCCCCTCGCTCGCACTTGATGGGGCTCCTTAGACCAGATATTGCTGTTTCGGCAAGGATATTCATGGGCTGGCGGGCTTGTCCAGTAATTAGAGTTGACCTGGCACCCTGGACCTACAATGCTTTGATTGAGTCGGCCAAAACCTGCCTGGGGATCTGAACTGATCGACAGAGTCCAGTACCGCTTCTAGGAATGCCTATCTCGTTGTCTCCTGCCCATCTCTCGCGCCCGAAGCCGATCAGATGCATTCCGCCAATGACAACTTAGGCGGTACACTGGCTCCCCCAAGTGGACGTGCTCCTGGACCTACTGCGATACCGCTTGCTTTTACTGACGGCAAGTCGCCAAGGAGTCGACGCGACACGGCTCGATCTGTTGTTGTCGACTCGTTGCCCCATTGGACAGTGTGGCTTGCATGCCGTGAGTTGCCCCAGCGTGATCTTCAAGCTCGGTCCCGAAAGCCTCCTGGCGACTCTGAAAGCGGAGTCTCCGAGAACTGCAGAAGAACCTGCTTGTGCTAGTGGTGCTTGGTCAGCTATCAAAGCCATGGATGGTCCTTTGTCAAGGCCGCACTTTCGCATGACTTTGAAATCCAGGCCCTGCGATCGTTTCGTCCCGCCATTCTGGAAAAGGATGCGCCACACAAAGTTAGACTTGTTAGTGCAAGATCAGAGCCAAGCAAGACTTCCCAAATCGGCAGGGAGGCTCTGGGGGCCAGGCCTGCCCTTCCAGATGTGAACCCGGCGCATCCCATGAGACAGCCTCGATGAGGTTGGTTTTCCCCTCTGGTGCTCCATTATCGAGATTATTTATAGCCACGGGACGACCAACCGCCACCGTACGAGGACCCTGGCCAGCGAGAGCCAAGTTGGACATGACGGGCGCCGCCGTGTCAGACGGCGCCGGCTCCGCTCACCACGACTCGGCTGAAAACGGCAATCCTGCTCAGGGAGGAAATAATCCGCTCGACACCCCGCCTCCGACGGTGAGCTCTCAGACTCTAGGCGGTCGGCATTTGTTGAACGGAGTCGAGCGAGCGAGCACCTCGAACGGTCATTTACAACTTCAGTAAGCGCCTTTCTAGGGCATCGTCTTGTTCATGCGTCATCACAGACTCGCAAGCTGTTAAATGAAGTGCCAAGATATCTGTGTGCTCGAGAAGAATTTGTCTGTTTGTTTGTTTCTTTCCTTCCTCTCTCAAATTATACAGAGAAGTGCCTCATCGGCCCAAATGCATTAGCCGGCGGATCGTCAATGGTGAGCGTGTTCCACGGGAACAGGTGCCGTATGGGCTGCCGCGCGACTCGCGGGGCTTTCGTCGTCGTCTTCGGCGTCGCCGCCACGGATTCAGGTCTATCATCAGGCTTGCCGGGGCTGGCTGAGCCTCGTCCTGCCCCTCCGTTCTCCTGTGCACTACCAGCGACGGCAGTCGGCGATGGCGCCGAGGCCGGGCTGGTGCAGCAGCTGCTGATGCTCCCGCCGGTAGAGCTCTCGCTGTACGAGGAGGTCGTCGTACTCGTCGCACCGCGTGCGCCGGTCCTGCTCAACCTTTCCGTTACAGTCGGCGCTCCCACCGCTGGCACAGGATCCGTGCCCGAGGACGCGGGCGATGCCGTCCATGACGGGTCTCCCACTCGCATACTACCAGCCGTCACGACACCCCCATCACCACTCAACCCAAGCGCCACCGCGCCGAGCTGCACGATCTGCTCGCTCCGGTAATCCGTCCACAGGCCTCTGACCCTCCACTCCTCGGGCGGCAGCCCGGGACACACGGCGGGCGTCAGGACCGCGGGGCCGTCCTTGACGGGGCTCGGGTCCTGCTCATGATCGAGCACGACACCGTGCTCGGCCTCTATGATGCGCAGGCCCCGGGCGTACATCAGGCTCACGTCCCACAGGTTCTCCCTGGGCGAGCCGAGCAGCAGCATGAGCTGGAGGGCCTGCAGCCGCAGGTCGAGGTCGCGGCACTTCACCGCGATGAAGTACAGCATGGGCGCGTAGCCCATCTCGAGCATGAACTTGATCTGCCGCTTGGCCGCGTGCCACTGGGCGGGCAGGCTGTGCCGGAACGCGGCGGCCTGCACGACGCACCGCCGGAACACGTCGGCGTACGCGTCGTAGCACGTCTCGGTGGCGTCGAGCGCCGTGGCCGTCCAGATCCGGCAGACGGCGTAGCGGATCGAGATGTTGACGCGCATGAGCCGCCGCGTGGTGAGGGCGTCGTCGTCGGTCTGCGGGCGCGACATGAGGCCCTGCCACGAGGCGTGCCATCTGTCGAGCTGGGCCTGGCTGGCGGCCTGGGCGGCGAGAAGGTGGTCTGGTTGTGGTGGTGGTGGGGGAGGGGCGTCGCCGCCATTGTCCAACTGTCGATAGGGCTCGCTCAAGCGGACGAGCTGCATCGAGTGGATCATGCATTCCCACATGTGGTCGCGGGCCTCGGGGAGGGACTTGAATGCGGGGTGTGGTATCGAGGAAGGGCCGTTGTCGTCGGTGGCGGCGGTATTGTGGTGTCTGTCGTCGCGGGCTGGGATGGGCACGGGGACGGGGAAGTCTTGCGGGAAGGAGCCGAAGAAAAGGGGGAGGAGGGTCATGCGGCGGAAGATGGGGACGAGGAACTCGCGGATCCAGGGGTAGCGGTCGGCGATGGTGTTGAGCAGGAGGATGCCGTGGCGGCAGTGCTGGATGGCGATGGCGGCGTTGTCCTGGAGGACCTCGATGCAGATGAAGAGCAGGCAGGCGAGGACGATGAGGGGCTGGTTGTCGGACTGGCGCAGCTGGGCGATGGCGGCGTTGTAGTGGCCGAGGGCAAGGGAGCTGTCGTCGAGGACGGCCATGGGGCCCTGGGGGTTCTGGCGCAGCATCTCGTAGAGGGAGCTGATGGAGACGACGCTGTGGCGGACGGCAGGCTCGAAGGAGCTGAACTGGTAGACGAGGCGGCTCCAGAAGTCCGGGTCGATGGCGCCCGACATGACGGGGCCGGCGGCCTGGCAGTAGTACTGCAGCGCCCGGGCCTCGGCCGGGTCCTCGGCGAGGGCCAGCAGGCTCCGGGGCCGGTGCCAGCCCACGAGCTCCGGGTCCCCGGTCCGCGGCGGCGCATAGCCGTCGCACTGCCGGCCGGCCTTGACACACCGCTCGCACGCGGGCTTGGCCTCGTCACACTTGACCTTGCGGGATCTGGAGGGGAGTGTCAGTGTCAGTCTGCGAGGGAGAGGGGACACGGAGCATACGCACTTGCAGGTCAGGCAACCGGTGCGGACCTTGGAGATGCCCTTGCGAACCATGGCCGGTGGTGGGTGCCGGGAGTGGTCCGGTCTGCTCCACCGAGTCCGAGCTGCTGCTGCAGGGCCGCGTGCAGGCTGCCCAGCCCTCGGGTGCGCCCTTCCGCTTCAGCTCCCTGGCGTGAGACACCAGGAGCCGGCGTTGCGTGCGGGGCCTTGTCCCGGTGCGGCGCCTTGTGCGTGGCCTGTGAGCTGCAGGTCTTGCAGGTGGGCGGTTGCTTTGCTGGAGCCCGACCGCTATGCAGGGCGGAGGAGGATGATGATGATGATGAGCGCGGGGAGAGAAGCAGGCACGCCCTGGCGGAAATGGATGCCGGGGCTGGGCCCAGCACAAGAAGGAAGAGGCCAGAGGCACAGAGCCCGCAGGCTTATGCTTGCATAACTGAGCCAAGGATAAACAGCACATGCAGCGTGGGCAAGGAAGCCGCCACACCGGCTGGGCGGCTAAATATAGACGGGCCGGGGCACGGCCAGGGGCTCAGAATTCCTACGCCACCGCAAACGTGCATCAAGGTGCGCTTAAACATGCAGGCCAAGGCCTCAACGACAAAAACTAAAGAGTTACCACCCATCGAGAATGAAGCGCAAAGGCAGTGCCGCCGCGGAGAAGAGCAAAATAAAGAGGTCGTACTGGGATTCGAACCCAGGTCGCCGGAAACTTCTCGTCAAGGAGTCAGAATCCGAAGTGATAACCAACTACACTATACAACCGACCACTTTATGACAAGGATGGGGCTTATGTAATACTATATCCGCTCAACAGTCACCCAGCTCAGCTCCCCAATTCGCCGTCCACTCGCGAGAAGGTTGCTTCCAGTGCTGGCTGTGCCGGCACGGCTTGAATGCATCAAGCTTGGTTACAATGAAGGGTGTGAACCGCCCGCGACTACCACCGTGCGTCGCACACGGGCAGCCATTCGCACTCACGGGTTGGCCCTGGTCTGTTGTACCCAAGGGCACGTCCCCTGGCTTGGTGTGGCGTGCAACGGCTCGTGGAGAAGGCGTGCGGAGAAAAGATGCCGATCAGTCCTGAGCCTCGGCCCTAAGACTCCCTAGAACGTCACGTCTGATCAGCAGCAGCAGTTGCCGCGTCTTCTCTCCACGGTGCTCCTGCACACTCGGCCGGCAGATCCGCCGCCCTCCGGCTCATTCAAAAAGCCCTTCCCCGAAGCCCGGATGTAACATCACATCCATGCCCTGTTCTCCAGGGTCGTCCAGCCACTAGCTTTATGTGACGCAGCCCAGGGGACGAGGCCCCCGCTCGCCATCTCTTCTTCTTTGTCCTTTCTCTTTCACGTGCAAGCCCGCAGCACGACTCGACTTCCAGTTTCTAGATCAAATTGTCCAGCCAGCCAGCTAGCCAGCCAGCCAGCCAGCCAGCCAGCCAGCCAGCCAGCCAGCCAGCCAGATAGGGAGGCACCGAGCACCTCATAAAATCCCACGCCAACGTCTGGCTGCCCCACGACACACACTCGCCCGCCATGGTCATGCCCAAGCACATCACCGTGCCGGCGTACACGACGTTTGAGCACGCCGGGGCCTTTGACGCGTCCCGGGTCGAGCGCGCCGACGACGAGGCATACCTGCGCAGTACCTTCCCCGCCGTCGACGCCCGCCTCAGTCGCCCCGGCGTCCGCACCTGGGCGCCCTCGACCTCGGACGTTTTCGCCATCACGCTCAACAACGAGCTCACCCTGCCCGGCTTCCTCGTCTACTGGGACGAGCCCGCGGGGACCCCCCTGAGCTCCACGCCCGCCCAGAAGATGGCCTACACGCCCGCGGCGTCGCACCTGAGCGACGGCAAGGCCGAGATGGTGCGCGAGGTGCACGCCCTGCTGCGCACGGAAAAGGGCCTGCAGTCGTACCCGGGGATCCTGCAGGGCGGCATGGTGACGGCGCTCATGGACGAGGTCACCGGCCTGAGCACCGTCGTCAACCGCATCAGGGGCGTCGAGGGGTTCCGGGAGCACCTGTTCATGACGGCCAGCGTGGCCGTCAAATTTGCCAAGCCCGTGCCCACGCCCGCGACGCTCGTCATCACCGCGAGGATCAAGGACGTCAAGGGCCGGCTGGTGATGGTCGAGGGGGAGATTCGGGATTTCGACAAAGGTGGGGAGACGGGCCCGGTGCTGGCGCGGGTCGATGCCGTGTGGGCGGGCATCAAGTTGAAGGACGGCAAGCCGATGATGTTCAAGATGTAGGATGGTTCTCTGCTATGGAGTTCACCCATGTCTGGGTGGTGTCGAGAGACTGCAGGCCGTTCGCTTCTTTAATGGTGCCCTTCCTTTGGCTTATCGGTTGTCTCCAGAAGACGGTGGTCCTGTCACAGCGATACTAAACCATACTAGATCAAGAGGGCGCGTGTACCAATATTACCACAATGTCAAGCGTATCCCAAACAGGCAACGACAATGGCCAGTATCGTAGTTGCTAGAAGAAAGATCCTTGCCACCCACTGCCAGTCCCGGAGCAACTTGGATGACCGCGGTCAGCATTTAGTTGGGGGCGGAATCTGTACCCAACCAGGAACAAAGAGCGTGCACGCGGGCTGATCTCGAGACGCGTCGCCCTGCATCCTGCAGGGGCCGGCTGACGCTGAGCAGGGGGCCTTGGATCCTCGAGTATCGTCGCAGGAGACAGGGCTTAATACTCGGTGCTAAGCGCCCGTCCAATACCTGTTCTCTCCCCATCTAGCCTGCTCTTGTTCGCCCGCAAGTAGTGCAACTTGTTGACACCGACCAGCGACCTCTGGATCGGACTGCTGAAACCTGCACCGGCAATGTCGCCTGATCCTCCCGCCGCACGCAAGGACGAGGACCACGGCGCTTCAGGCGCAGCAACAGTCGCGCTGCTCAGGCAGATCCAGGCCGACCAGGCCCGCATCGTTGAGCTGCTCTGCGCAAGATTCGAGCCGCATCAACGCAAAGACGTGTCTGTCATCGCGCGCGAGTTGTGGCATGGCCATGTCGACCCGCCGCTCAGCGCCTGGGAGGGGTCAGACCAGGCATACTGGGCTGCAAGAGCTGCAGACCCGGCCGAGGAGAAGAAGCACGACCTTGGCCTTGAGTTCCTCCGGAGCTTCGCGCCAGGCGGCAAGATTGCCAGCACGGTCGGGGCCAGCGACACCGACATCTCGGCGCACATCGCGGGTCTCGCCTCCGACCCGGCGGAGCAGGAGCTCTGGCGCGCCAAGTTCCCCGGCGGGACGAGACGGCAGTGGGGAGCTGTGTCCAACCTCGAGGTCGCGCTGGACAAGTTCAAGCGCTGGGCAGGTAGGAGGGGCAGGGCACAGCTCGTGGGCGTCACGTTCGAGGAGCTCGACGATGTGTGGCCGGACAGGTGGCAGTCGGACCCCGATGCCGACGAGGCCGGCAACACTGCCACGGCTGTGACTGTGGCAGCGGGGACCCATGACGAGCCTTTCACGTACTATCATGCGATTGCGGGAGTTGCGCAGCCTGGCGAGGTGAGTATGGCCTTTCCGAACACGTCAGGGGCCCGGTGCTGACGGTACATGTGCGAATCGCAGGCTCTCCCCGGCGTGTCGATTGCAGAAGAGTCGACGTTGCCCATCTGCGGCGTCATCTAGTGAGTGGCCCAGAACTCGTCTCTCTGGTAATGGTGAATCTTCCCTGGCAGTCCTGCTCACACGGTCACAACACCAGCCTCTGCTCGATCGGCCGGCAGACAGGCATAATCGACCTCGACACAGCCGCTGCAATCCTCACCCTCACGCCCAGCGCCCTGTTCCTCGACAGCCACGCCACCGCCTGGCGCGAGCGCGACAAGGGCGTCTGCTACGAAGTCGCCAAGTTCCAGAGCAGCAGCAGCGCCATGTCCCTCACCAACAACGAGTCCCCCGGGCGCCTGTCCCACGGTATCCTCATGTTCCACCTGCGCTCCTTCATCGTCGCGACGGACCCCGCCGGCACCACGGAGAGCAGCAGCAAGCCGCCATTGCATGCCGTCCCGGAGGAGCAGCATCACTCCTTCCCAGGCGTCAGGTGCGTCCGCGAACGGACCGCCTTTCAGGGCTTCTACGACGGCCAGACCCTGCAGCTCGTCGAGAGGCGGTACTCGACGGCGCTGAGCATGCTGCCCCTCGACGCCCCCGCGGGCCGCTTCGCGCTGGTGTCTGTCGCGGACACGAGCTCCCCACAGGACAGAGACGAGGTCTGGGCCGAGGCACCCGGCTACGAGCGCGTGTACGAGGAACGCAACCGCCCGTGGACAAAGTTTGGCCTGCGGTCCGTGGGGCTGTACACGGGGCTCGCGGCGATGCAGCTCCAGATCTGCTCGTTCCTCGAGGGCTGGGAGCGGGACTGGAACCGGACAATCGATGCCATCGACAGCAAGATCTCGGTGCAGGTGAGTGACTCGCATCCTACGCGGCTGCTACTAGATATCCCGTCTCCGTGTCCCCAAGCGACCTTTGGACTCCGGATGCTAATACCTTGTCGCCGGAGTGACAGCTCGACGTCCTGGAAAACTCAGAGCAGCTGAGCAAGCTTGTCCTCAAGACCAAGTCGGATGCCTCGGTGCTCTACTTCAAGGTCCTGCAGCTCCTCGGCGTCTTCGCCGACTCGGTCCAGGAGGCGCGAGCCGCCCTCGAGGCACTCCCGAGGGCGACCCACAACCCGGAGGTGTTCCTCGGCAGCGGCTTCTACCAGACATACCAGCATACCGCGGATACGCTGACGTTGCTCGACCACAACTGGGAAATAGTCCAGGGTATGCACAAGAACGCCGCGGAGGGCATACTGCGGCGTCTGGACCGGTCGAAGAATGAGATCCTGGGTCTGCGAGACGGGGTAAGTAGTCGAATCATGTGGTGAAAGCTTACGGTGGTGGGGAGAGCTCAATACTGACCGTGGTTGGACCCACAGCTCTTCAACGTCCAGTCAGTCGTCGAGGCGCAAAAAAGCTTCGAGCTGAACAAGTACCTTTTCATCTTCACCGTCGTCACCATTGTGTACCTCCCGCCGACATTTGTAGCGGTAAGTATTCCCTCTCCCTCTCACTCTCTTTCTTCTTTTTGTTCTTGTACCGGCCTCCCCAAGTCTGCAAATGAGTCCTCATGCGCCGTCTGCGCGTTGGTCCTGGCCGGATGTTGTTACTGATTGCTCCGACGACAACCACGACAGAGCTTCTTCGGCATGGAGATCTTCAACGCCGAGACCGTCCCTGAGACGCAAGACTTCTTCTGGACGCTCATCAAGTGGTTCTGCGCCGTGACGTACGTCCTGGCAATCATCGCGCTCATCGGGGCGAGGCTCCCCCTGAGCCCCGTGGCAGACGCACTGAGGAAGACATGGGGCAGAAAATCGGCCTCGCCCCTGGGAAACTCGTCGAAGAGCGCCGGCAACAGGGGCGCCCAGGGCGATCGCCCAGAAAAAGGCACGGAGCGGAATGTCCGGAGCTCAACGTCACGCATAAGGACGGCGGGCCGCTTCGTGTCACAACCTCAAGTTTCCGGCACGGGTAATCCGCAGCCGCCGACTGGGGGCTTGCAGACACAGCCAGAATTACCGGAGGAGGTGGAAACAGCCCGCGGGAGACAGTATCGCATGTCGGAGCTGTTTCGTCGAAAGGGCAAGCCTGACGCGACTGTGTCTATAGGGTCTGGGCTGGCTTGAGTTCGATCACGACTTCACTGGAAGATAAGCCAATGTTCTAGTCATGTCAGCGACAAATATAACGTACAGAGACCA